AGGCTAACTAAATACATTTCAAAAATACTACTATGAAACTATTATGATTAAGTAAGTAAAAATAGAATCCTATATCTGTATTGGCAAAATTGTGCTTAAACTACAGGTGAAGTCGACTACTTTGTAACAGGAAAACTAGGCAAAGCTAAAGATGTTAAATTGGAAAATTTTCAACAGATTGGATGTAATCTCCATATGAGAGGTTTTATTTATGATATTTATTTTCCCTCTATAAAATGTACCACATAAGTAAAATGAACCTCTTCAAGTAGTCTGTGATATTAACAGCTCAGTCTTATATCAATGATTTTTTAAAAAAATTTAGTTAAATATTAAAATACTAGTTGACATAAATTGATAATGTCTTTTAAGAATAAAACTAGCTGTCTCTTGTTATTTTTTGATCAGTATCTGCTAAGTGACATCTGCAGGAATGTTTTCCAAAACTACAATTTTAAAACTGAAAAGCCCATTATCCTCTGCTGACAGTGAAAGACAGAGTACTGGCCCCATTAAGGTTCAAATATTATATAAGGATTAGTCTTTGCATGTAACTGTAATAAACTTTATCTTTATCAACTGTTTACTCAGCCTTAGTTCTCCAGAGCACAGATCATAGCAAGCAGATACTTCTAATGGTTTACAAAATCCTCTGGAGGCAGATAGGTTGAGAGTGAATTTGAGCTAACAAAAAACCCCACACACATGCAAGAATGCACAAAGCATACATCACATATACATGCATGCACATAATGTACACACAAGTCTAAATACATCTTTTTTCTTCCTCCACTAGTTTTAAAGTCTCATGTCAACTTCAGAGTATTAATGAAATTCATGTAATCATGTATAGCTAAACAACAAAAAAAGTAGATATTTCTGTGGGAATCAAGTAGGAGAGGGAGTTACATATTATTTTACATGTAGGTCTAGATTTAAAACAAAATAAAAATAATTATACTGTTTATTTGTACTAAAGTAGTATACCTCCCATATTCACATTGATGGTTACCATATTTTAACACATACTAAAAACAATATTGCAAATTGCTTTCATAATGTAGGTGAATATAGTTGGTACTACTAACTCAGTACATAAGTTCATTTCTTTCACAGTTTCCTGAACAATGTCTGCACACATACTTACCAAAAGAAAGACTGGTCCATTGGTTATCATTCTCTATTTGCCATTATGCTAAAATGGTTTTTGATTTAGTTTGGATAGTTCTACACAGCACATTTCATTTATCCATGGTCCATATACACATTTAATTTAAATTAGAACTCTGCTAAGCAAGCATCTAAAAAATAAAATACCAAACAGAAAATTTTAAAAAAGTATACTCAAAAAGAATTTGAGTCAATGAATTCATATAATTTCTGTTATCTCTACTTCTACGACCCAGCAATGTACTTCTTAAGTGGCCTTTATTTTAGACAGTGGATTTCAGAATTTAAGGAAGGTCCACAAGCTTTCTCTTATTTCTGGAAAGTCCCATCCTCTTCTTCCCACCTCCCTACCATAATACTGCAGAATTTTCCTCTACAAAGCCTGAGTGACAAATGTTAAGAAGTAAACTGTGAGAATTTATTACATACTTTAGTTTATAAAGTTACCAAATATAATCCTATTATTGGTTATATGCTCATCAATTTCAGTCAAATACTAGAAATCTAAATCATGAAGACACTTACTGTTTAGCTAAAAAAAAAAAAAAACATTTACAAGAACATTTAGTTTTAGTTTTATATGAACTGATGAACATTAAAATTGACTTAAGGTGTTTTTCATATTTTTTCTGTGTTCACTTCACAGGAAGAACAGAGAAACTATAAAGAAATAAAACTTTTTTTTTAATAAATAAGTGAGGAGTTACTAAATTTGTGAGTTCTCTAGGAGCAGATAAGAAACTAGCCCAAATATTGACAACACTTGTAATAAATGTTAATAGCCAAATGAAATTTGGAAAAATGTAAAACCAGGCAGTTTTAAAGATAAAAAGTATTGTTGGGGTATTTAAGGAATGCACGATTATAACATAAGAGAAATAATTTCAGCAACTACCAAACTAAAAATCAGGATAGTCACATTTTGAATTCACATAATAGGTGCAAAAGTTGAAAAATTATATGCAGTACTATTTTTTGAGTCTATGCTTAAAAACAAGAGTTTAATCACCTTTTTAAAAATATTTGTTAAGAAGCATGGAACTACTACTTAAACATTTATTTATAATATTAGCTTCAATATGGCCATTGGGTGTCCAAAAATAATAATCATTTGGATCACATGTTGTGGTTTTTCCTATTCACTCACATTCTAAAAAATGTTATTTTCAATTCTTACAAACTTCCTTTAGTTTAGTTGAAGTCCTTACTGATTTGTTAAGACCCACATTAACTGCCACTCTGTTCCAGAAAATCTTATCTTTTTTGCAAAAATCATATAAAGTTGTTCCTTCTTTGGCCTCCCTATATTTGTACTTTTCGTTACATTTACACATTAAATTGAAATGCATGCATGCTTCAGTGTCATTTTCTAGACATAAAGTCACTGGAAGACTGTATTTTTCACCTTTGTAACATTGACACCTAAAAAAATAAAAGGCATTCAAAAATATTTATCCATGTAATTGGCACATGAAATAAATTCCAAGTTCAAAAACCATTACTTTCTAGCACAATTTTATATAACATTTAAAAATATAATATCATGAGTATGAATGTTAGATCAAAAATTGATCACTTCTGCTGAAAAACTAGTTTCAAATAAAAATTAATTTTTAAGGTTTATTTATTTATTTGAAAGTCAGAGTTACACAGAGAGAGGCAGAGATAGAGAGAGAGAGATCTTCAATCTGTTGGTTAGCTTCTCAATTGGCTGCAACTGCCAGAGCTACGCCAATCCAAAACCAGGAGCCAGGAGCTTCCTCAGGGTCTTCCCATGTGGGTGCAGGGACCCAAGGACTTGGTCCATCTTCTACTGCTTTTCCAGGCCATAACAGAGAGCTGGATCGGATCAGAAGTGGAGCAGCCAAGATTTGCACTGTGTGTCCATATGGGATGCTGGCACTGCAGGTGGTGGCTTTACCTACTACACCATAGCACCAAGACCAGAAAAATTAATTTGGATTTAGAACAATGAAATTACAATAATTTCTGTAAGAAGCTTACCTTTTACTTCATAGATCCTGTGGTATTCAACTATCTGATACAATATTTGTTCTTTGAATATAAATGCATTTCTACATAAAAACATTATGATTTTATATAGGTATTTTATGTAGTTATATATGTTAGGTATTTAGGTGCAAGTGAATATGGTAATCTGAAAATCTATTGGCTTTTAAAATTGTCTAAAGCAGACACACATCTATTTCAACATATACTGATTTCTATACCCCTTTTGTAAATTAGCAAAAAAAAAAAAAAAAAACAAAAAAGAAATTCAAAAAAAACAAAGCTAGTATTCTAAGCAGTTGAAAACATGGAGAATACAAAAGTACACAAGACTTGAATTTCTTAGAGAATATCCTGATCATATCTTGTATTTATTTATTTATTTTTAAGATTTATTTATTATTTATTTGAAAGGCAGAATTCTACAGAAGAGGAAGAGAGAGATTCTCTATCCACTGGTTCACTCTCCAAATGGCTACAATGGTTGAGGCTGGGCCTGGACAAAACCACGAGCCTGGAGCTTCCTCCAGATCTTCTAAGTGAATGCAGGGGCCAAAGGACTTGGGAAATTTTCTGTTGCTTTCCCAGGCACATTGTCAGGGAGCTTGATAAGAAGTGGAGCAGCCAGAACTTGAACCAGAAATCACATGGGATGCCAGCGCTGGAGGCGGCAGCTTTACTCACTATGCCACAATGCTTTCCGTATGATTATGTCTTATTCCAGGGTTTATTTAGTCTGAGGCTTCTGTAATCTTCAAATAAGGTGGTCTTCATATTCTATATATATTTCCTATGCACCAATTTGGTTGAACTCCTGCAAGCCTCTTGGGTGTGTCTCTTACTAGAAATAATCGCGTCAGGCTCTGACCTTTCCTGACTTTTTATCCATCAGCAATAAAGGTTTTTTTTTTTTCAGTATTGTATTTATTTTTAAGATTTATTTATTTTACTTGAAAATCAAAGTTACTCAGAGAGAGGAGAGGCAGAGAGAGAGAGAGGTCTTCCAACCGCTGGTTCACTCCCCAGATGGCCGCAACGACCGGAGCTGCGCTGATCTGAAACCAGGAAGCAGGAGCTTCTTCCGAGTCTTCCACGTGGGTACAGAGCCCCAAAGACTTGGGCCATCTTCTACTGCTTTCCCAGGCCATGGCAGAGAACTGGATCGGAAGTGGAGCAGCCAGGTCTCCAACCAGCGCCCATATGGGATGCTGGCACCGTAGACAGTGGCTTTACCGGCTACATCACAGTGTCAGCCCCTCAGTATTGTATTTAAAACTTCCAGCCACTGTAACAGCAGTCAATAATTGTTGCAATGATTCCAGAACATGCATAAACAGGCACTTGCAAAGCAATCAGAGGTCATTTCTTCCCAGATAAATCCTGATGCCCCTTAGTGTCCCATACTTACAATTCCATTGATGCCTTCCTTTGTCTTGACTAATAGCCCTATGGGCAGCAAAGTGTTATTTAAGCTTTTCAAAAACAACAGTTTAAGAAAACCACATAAAACACTAAATGAAGCTCTTTCATAAAGTGACAAGAAACATGGTGAATAGAAGCCAAAATTTTCTTAATACTTTTAAGAATTATTTTCAGCTACATTTTTGCTATAATAATACATTCCCAGTAGAACTGCAACAAAATTGTATTTCTTATCTATTCTCAACATGAAGAAATAAAATTTAGTGATAATAGTTTAATTTTCAATGATTAATGATGTTATTATTGCTTGTTATTTTAAAAATCACAGTACTAGAATGTATTTTCAACAACATAACAGCAATTTTTATCCATAAAATGTATCATTAACTATAAATATACTAAGCACTAACATAATGCATATATCATTCCCAGAAAAAGTTTGTTTTTATTATGTTAGATTTAGAGGTACACTGTATCTTCAATGATGGAATCAGTTTCTGTCAATATTCTCTTTGTATAGCTGTGATACTTTGTTTCTTAAAGTATTTAACATAGTTCATGCTGGATTATGATTATCTACATATATTTTCCTACCATATTAGGGTATTATTTATTTTTTTGAGCTCTACTATAAATAGTTCACATTGAAGTACAACAAAAGTGTATAGTTAAAGAGAATAAACAAATCCAATCTGTACCTATGTATCCAGTAGTTGAATCACCTCAACTAATTTGTATCCAGGGCAACACTGACCACGCCACATTGTAAAAGAAACTTTATTACACTGAGAGCTTCAAAGACAAAAGCTTAACTGCATGCATTATTATTCTCAATGCAATGTGTTTTACATTTATATTTTGCTATTCTGAAGTCTGAGCCTATTATTCATCAATTCTATATCAGCACTTTGTTGTTTCAGTATTTTCTGTGGTTTATAAAATAGTCACCTATCCTAGCTCTTCGCTGACAAAGAAGACTATCCTATAGTAGCTACTATCCAAATATGACTTTAATACTCACAGATTCGTTTTTGCTCATAATCATCATTGACTAAATTTTTAATTATGTGAAGTAAAATATATGCTTTTGAAAATCCCAAACTGTTTGTACATTATGTCCTTTACATGAAAATAGATATGTTGATGATTTTTAAGTGATGATATATGTAAAAAATATCTGTAGATTGGGCAGCGTTTATTATAAATGTCTGCTAAATCTAATTAGCTTGTGGTGTTCTTCATTTGCTTGTTTCCCTGTTGATCTAAGACTGTGATTCTATATATTATTGTATGTGGAATAGTGAAGATTTCAATTATTGTTGTTAAGTTGTCCATTTCGCCTTTCAAATAAATTAGCCCTTGCTTCACTAATTTTGAAGTTTTGTTTTAGATAACCATATATATACAATTTACACACACACACACACACAATGTGTATATATATGCATATGTACATAAAACATATATATAATCTTTTTAAAAGATTTATTTATTTATTTGAAAAGCAGAGTTACAGAGAGGCAGAGGCAGAGAGAGAGAGAGATCTTCCATCTGCTGGGTCACTCCCCAAATGGCCGCAATGGTTGGAGCTGGGCCAATCTGAACCCAGGAGCCAGGAGCTTCTTCCAGGTCTCCCACGTCTGTACAGGACCCCAAGGACTTGTGCCATCTCCTACTGCTTTTCCAGGCCATAGCAGAGAGATAGATCAGAAGCGGAGTAGCCAGGACTCGAACCAGCACCCGTATGGGATGCTAGAACTAAAGGCAACAGCTTTACTTGGTATGCCACAGTGCTGGCCTCCATATATATCTTTATAATTGATGCTTGCATCATTATACAATTCCCCAATGAGGGCCAGTGCTGTGGCATAGCGAGTAAAGCCACTGCCTGCAGTGCTGGCATCCCATATGGGCACCAGTTCAAGTCTGGCTTCTCATCTTCTGATCTAGCTCTCTGCTATGACCTGGGATAGCAGTTGAAGATGGCCCAAGTGCTTGGGCCCCTGCACCTGCATAGGAGACCTGGAAGAAGCTCCTGGCTCCTGGCTCTGGATCAGCCCAGCTCTGGCCGATGCAGCCATTTGGAGAGTGAACTAGTGGATGGAAGACCTCTCTCTCTGTCTCTCCCTCTCTCTGTAACTCTACCTCTCAAATAAATAAATAAAATATTTAAATTTTTTTTCTATAAAAATTTTCTTAAGGTGTATTTAAGAGACATTCCAGCCCTTTCTTATTACTCTTAACACAGCATAAATTTTTGAGACATTTAATTTCATCCTATTTATGTCATCAAATCTAAAATACCTTAATTTTATCTTAATTAATATCTTAATTTTATTTAAGAAAAATAGAAGAACAGTGAAGAACTATGGAGCTATGAACAGAGTGCTGATGTTGCTTGTCTTTAATTTTGAAAACTGTCTCTGTTGTTGTGCTGAGTGGCAAGATCAGTGTAGAGGCGAATACACAGCATTATGCAACTGGCCCAACCTGTATAGAGAAGAAAAAAACAAAGAGATCTAATGTAAAATATTGATTTTAGATGATGATAATGTATCAACATTGGATCATCAATTATAACAAATGTACTACGCCATACAAGATTCTACTCAAAAGGGAAACTGATGGCACAGGAAGGGAGAGTGTGTGAGAACTGTACCTTTTGTTTAATTTTTCTACAAACCTAAAATTTTCTCTGAAAGCAAACTTTATTAATTTAAAAAGTAGATTTTATTAATATTCTTTATTTATTTTTGCTTTATAAATTAACATTTCTTAGGAATTTCTTAAGCCACTGAATGTATACTTAAAGACATATTTTTGAAGACTTGTATATTATTTTTGGCTCATGATTCAATAGCGATTAATCAAATATTGAAATTCAGGGTACTCAGTTGTAATCATTATGTAGAAATAAATCTATATACATATATGGATATAAATTTCAGAAATGGACTGTACAGCTTAAGATGTTAAAATTATTATTTGAAAGACTCAGAAATTACTGGAGAATTCCATTTTAGCTAGGAAATTTTGAAAGTTTGAGTCTAACTTGAATATATTCAAATAGACTAAAAAGTAAGCTATAGCAATCATGGAAGAGAGGTTTTATACTTAAGAACAATAAAATATTACCTGAATACAAACAATGTATCATTTATTTTACATAGAAGAGGTTATTCATTTTATAGATGATATATTTTCATTATATTTATTTTGAAACAATAAAACATGTATCTTTACTAATAAAATTCATGAGATAATTTTTCTAAAAACGTATTCCAAAAAACATTGATTTCCTGAGAAAAAGTGGTTCAAGTAAGTTGATAAAATGATTTGGAGAATCGCTTATTAGTATAATTTTCCTCTGACAGAGTTGCAGTGTACATTGGTATTTTAAAGACCCTGAGCTATCTTGCGCTAAACGAAGTTCTTTGACTTTGTTTAACTCAGCATTTCCAAATGTATTTGACCAGAAAATGCTTTCTTTGTTTCCTTAGAGAAGATGAGTACCCTCTGAAACTGTATGTTCCACAAGAGCAAGTAGGACATTGTCTTATTCAATCTCCTCATTTTGTATTGTTGGATGTTTAAGACCCAGGTAAATGAGATAATAATCCAAGGTAAGCTAATTTCCTCAAATCATATACCAATACTAGATTTGTAACAAATCAGAAATAGTTGTAATCTACTAGTCCCAGTCTAGCTCAGTTTCTACCATTCCACACTGTATATTTCATTGTTGCCATATATGTCTTAGCCTACAACATAAGTACTTTTGAAGGATGTTGCTGTGCTATGGACATGGTTTGGGTGTCCCCTAAAGGACCAAATGGCTGGAGATTTGTTCTTCAAGTTAGGGTGATATCAGACTGTGCTACTGAACCAAGCAGAGCCTTGTCAGAGTTCTTTGGGACATTGGGGGCTGTGCCCTTGAAAGGGATTAACGTATTCTCATACCACCCATGGACTTTCATGAGAGGTTTGTTACAAAAGGAGAAAGATTGTTCCTTGTCTTTCTCTGCTTCCAGATTGAGTTGTGACCAGTTACTCTGACGCACATACTCTATTACGATCTACCATTTGCCATGGGACCCTCACTAGAACTGACCCAAGGTAATCTCCATGTCCTTGAACCCCCAAGATTCTGAGCTAAATAAACCTCTTTTCTTCCTAAGTGGCTTCTCTCAGGCACTTCACTATAGTGATGAAAATTGAATATTACAGATATATAAATGCTGTTACATTTACTTTTAAAAACAGTCTATCTGGATATGTCTGTTTCTTTTCATACGCAACTCGTGTGTAAGAGCATGTATTTCTGTGTTTGTTTTTATTTTTGTCTCTGAAAATCTTATATGTGCATGTGTACCTGAAGCTTGTTTTTCAATATTTACACCCTAACAAGAACAGAGAAAGAACACTGAAATATATACAAATTATCTTAACTAAAGGGGTCATTTTTATTAAACACATTATATTTGGATATTGTGTACCAAGGAATATAAATAGCTCTACTGGAAATAAATGGTTTCTCTGGAATATGCTAGATTATATCACTAAAACCTCAAGGCCAAACATCACTTGGACAAAATTAATACATGTAACATGTGACATTAATTCTATTAAATATAAACATGGTGGCCAGGAAGAAAGCATAAGGAGGGAAACACAAGGCTAAGAAAATGACCTTCCTTTTACATTTTATTAACAAATCCAGCTTTCCTCAGCAAGTGGTTCTAAATATCACATAAGAATATTCACCCTAAGCTATTCTCAAATCATATCCAACTTGACTGTCTTTTTTTTCCTAACAAATATAATGTAAACCACCCCCCAGGGGGGAAAAAAAAAACTAAAGTGCTAGAAAAGTCTGTTTTCCAAAAGGGAAATGTTCAATCTAATTTCTTTATTCTCCTTTTAACAAAGTTAAAAGTATATTTTAACTAGCATGCTATATAATCAGTGGTTTCATATTGAATACTTTTTAATGAAATAAATGTGTATTACTGATACTCCTGACTTTAGCATAAACTATTTGAACAAATAAGCTCTGAGTTACTAAAGTGTCTGATTGAGCATTTAATAGAAGTTAATATGAATTATAATGGGATCTATGTTTCTGTTCAAAAAGAAAAATTCCTGTTTAACCTAGTGCACAATGTGTAAGTTATTCTTGTCAGAGAACATATCTATAAAGACTGCTATCATATCACTGTTGTGTCTGGAATGCTGAACAAAATTATCTTCATGAGAGAGTTGAAAAGGGAAATACTAATTAAGTAGGACCCTGAAAAGAGGAAGAACATCCTCCCTGGAATAACAACTACTACAGGGAATATTTTCTGAATCCTCTGGAGAACACAACTGTTGATAGAAAAACAAATTATAAGAGGCTGGAATTGTGGTGCAGAAGGTTAAGCCACTGGCTGAGATGCCAGAATCCCAATATGTACCTTGGTTTGAGTTCTGGCTGCACCACTTCTGATGCAGCTGCTTGCTAACGTGGCTGGGAAAGCAGCAGGGGATGGTCCAAGTACTTGAGCAGCTATTATCCATATTGGAGACACAAATGGAGTTTCATTTTGGCCTGGCTAATTTGGGGAGCGAAGCAACAGATCAGATTCTCATTCTCTCTCTCTCTCTCTTTCATTCCCTCCCTTTCTCCCTCTCCCTGTCCCCATCCCTCTCTCCCCTTCTCTGTCACTCTTTCAGCTAAATAAATCTTTTTAAAAAGAAAAAAAAAGGGGGGGGGTCCAAGATGGCTGAATAGCATCAAGGTGGTCTGATTTAGGTTGGATGAAATTAATATTAAAAAAAGTGGGGAAAGTGAACTCTTAGGGTGAAGCTGCAGAGGAAACTGCAATAGGAAGTCCTGTGAAAGCAGTAGAAATGGCCCGGACCTGTGTGGAAGGTGCAGGCATGCAGCAAGGTGCAACGAAACAACAAAAGACCCAGCAGCATGGATCAGAGGAAGAAGGCACCTGCTGTGGCAAACCAGGTGAGATTAGACTGCACAGGCCTGCACCACTGTTGATACAGCAGGAGGGAGAGCTTAGTGAACTGCACATTTTGGAGTCAAGTCCGAATGCCCCAGGACAGTGGGGGTTGGGGGAGCAGTGCATTGCTCTCTCTCCCCTTCTTTCTCCTACAACAGTGACTTGCAGGCACTGGTGGGAGAGCAGGCACCATTTTTTGGACATAGGCAGGTAGCAGTTTCTCCAACTCATGTGCACATACCAAGCAATTATTGGGGTCACCCTCTACCCAGTCAGCAGGGGCCACTACAGCTGTTCAATAGCAACTGACAGAGATGGTCACCACTGTGCCAGTTACACCCTCATTGCAATGGGTGGGGAGGGGAGCCATCCCTAGAGAAGGAAAGTGCCACCTGTGGGACTCTTCTATGCACCAAACAAAATGGTAAAACCAGTGGGCCTGTGGCTTGCAGGTATTGTGCACACCTATGAACCAAAAATCTTACCAGAGAGAAAAACTGGCATTCCCCTCTGACGTCGAATCTGGTTAGGAGGACCAGACTCAATCCAGTGGGCTGGAACATACATGGACAGTGGCTCTGAGAACACCTCAGTCTCCCCGCAGACAGGATGGGCTAGCAGGGCTGAGTGGCCCCACTTGCACTCCTTGACCCTGAGAGCCCTGGGAGCTGAGACAGAAAGCACTGTGACTGTGTGAGAAGAGGTCGGGTGTAGCCGGGTTCTGGGTAATCACAAACTGCTCCAGCAGGCTTTCAGACTTCCTTGGTTGCCTACAGCAGCTCATAGCAGAGAGAACCGTGCAGATCATATGTGTGATTCATATGCCAGTGCAAATGACTGTTGAACACTTAAGGCTAAGGTATGGGCATTCCTCAGGTTGGAGGGGAAGGGGTGATCACACCAACAGAGAGGACCATGGTCTCCTTCCAGTTAACCAGGTACTCAGTGCATCCTGGAGCACTTATCACCCTCCCAGGCCACATCCACCAGACACCTCTTTGTATTTGCTGAAAGTGTAGACATTCCACTAAGTCACAAAAACATAGTTCAGAGATAAAAGCCATCAGAGAAAAAAAAATTTCTACAAATGCCAAAAAAAGTGCAGATATTCAAGAAACAAGAATACAGAAGACATCAAAACCCCCAAAGGAATACAACATTTAAAAATTAGAATGCAAAGATGAAGAGATTCAGGGAATACCAGATATTGAATTCAAAAAGTTAATCATAGGATTACTCAAAAGCAATCAGAAGCAAATGCATGAGCTAAAAAAAGCCCTATATGATATGAATGAAAACTTTCCCCATGATTCTGAGATTTTAAAAGAAAAATGAAATATTGGAAATGAAGATTTCAATAGATAAAATAAAAGATACAGTGGAAAGCCTTAACAACAGAATTGGTGAGGCAGAAGAAAGAATATCTGAACGAGAAGAAATATCTCTGGAAATTTTACAGTCATACAAGAAATATGAAATAGAAATTAGAAA